AAAGACAGTAAGGCCACCAGAAGCCCCAGGCTCCTAGCCTGCCAGCTACACACAGGTCCTGGGGTATCTGTGTTAACCCGAAATGGGAAAACATGTTTATTTCTCTCCAGATGGCCAGGCCTCTGACAACAGAGTAAGACCACACGTGCTTCCCTGGAGCCAGGGGCTGAGGTCAGCTCTACTAACTCAAGAGTTGGCGGGAAACAGTTCTCTAAGAGAAAATTGGGAGTCTAACCAAGACCTAGGGCAGAGTGGCAGAGCAGTAGAGTGGTTTATTAAACACACGTGGCTTTCTACTTAACCATTGAATAATTCAGAACGTTTTTCCTGTTCATCCCAATGCAGTCATCCATCACAAACTTACACTCTAGTTGTCCTGTCTCCAGAAGAAGCGAGCCCCCATCCTCATCCTGAGACACGTCCAGCCCCGTACAGTACTGTGCTAATGTCTGATTAAGCAGTAATCTAGTCTTCAGGGTCCTGCAGTCTGTGGGCAGAATAGAATGATGGAGAGAAAACTGGATAGCTGAAAGAACAAAATAACTACCCAGCTGGAGAGGGGAAGGGCGGAAAAACACCTAGTCCACAGCCCACACCTTCGACTAGTAGCAAGGATTCTCTGACCTCCCCCAGCCCACTGCTCTGACGCTGCGTCTCCATCCTTAGTGCTCTGAGGCTGTTTGTGAGAGAAGGACTGAAGCCTGTTTGGGGATGGAGAGGGCACAGTCTTAGGGGGTCATTAACTTGTTTTCCAGGCTTTTCTAGCAATATACTGGCTTTGGTCCTCAGGAGGGCTTTCCATCAATTTGCCTTCTTTATCCAGAGTGTTTGCCCAAAGCCAGGGACCTCATTGGAAGTTGTAATTCTAGAATGGATCCCTGATGGTGGTGGGGAGGGGGAATGGGAGTTGTCTCTTAGCAACAGCCTCCCTTGTGCCACTCATTGTAGGAGCCCAGGCTTGGAAGGAGGGCTCCAGCCAGGGCCTCTGCCAAGGGGCAATGCAGGCCCCTAGCTCCTTGGCCCTTCCTACCCAAGCTGCATCCCCTCAACACACACAAAAGACTGCTCATAATGGACGTTTCCATGGAGAGGACACAGCAGGGCCAGAGGAGTCAAGAGCAGGCAGGCCCCGACTGCCCTCCCTCTGAGTTTCCTGCCTTCTCTCTTTGCTTCAGTTCACTTTAGTTTAAAGCTAAGACCTGGCTCTTCATTATCTCTCAGCCATATTAGATTACTGGCCCCAGGCAGAAGGGCCTCTCCAGGTAGGCTAGTTTTTCCTGCTTTGAGCTCGGCTGAAGTGGGTCCTGTTTGACTTTACTAAGGAGGCCACAGGAGAGACCACAGCACCTAACAATATCCTAACATTTTTCTGCTAATGTAGCAGTCTTTGTGGGGACATGGCCTCAGCTCCAGGGCCTGTGAATGACAGTTTAATCAGCAGGTTTGCTATTGTGACAGGGTTCACCAACTTTTTGTTTCTTTGTAGTTTGAGACAAGGTCTTACTGTGTAGCCTTGGCTGGCCTGGAGCTCACTAGGTAGACCAGTTGGCCGCTAACTCAACAGAGATCTGGCTGCCTCTGCTTTTGAGTGTTGGGATTAAAGGTGTGTGTCCACCAACTTTTGACTGGGGAATGAGGGAAGGGGTACTGTTTTACACTCCCCTATCTTAATTTCTTGCCTTGTTGTTACAGTAAACTACTCTTAACAAAAATAACATATGGGAGAGAGGGTTTATTTTCACTTGAAGTTCAAGGTGCAGTCCATCATGGTTGGGGAGTCAAGGCAGCAGGAGCCTGAAGCAGCTGTTCATTGCAGGAGCAGGAAGCAGGGCATTGAAGGCGAGCGGCTGCTCAGTTCTTTTTCCGTGTACACACACAACCCTCGTCAGAGAATGATGCCACCCACAGTGGGCAGATTTTTCCACCTCAGCAACTGAAATCAAAACTCCCCAGAGGCCCATTTCCAAGATGATTCTAGAGTCTGTGAAGGAGACAACACTGACCACCAGAGGGCCAGGGATACGGCTCAGTGGGGAACGTGCTTAGCAGGTAAAGAGTATCGCCACCACGCCTGACAGTCTAAGTTTGATCCTGGCTCCCATATGGTGGAAGGAGGAACTGACTCCCGCACGTTAACCTCTGACCTCCACATGTGTGCCATGGCATGATCATCCACCCCACACAAAATAAATGGATTAAATGTAAAGGGGAAAAGGCACTAACTACCACGGGGTCTATTATTTGAAAAAGGAAACCATCTTTCATTTCTCAGTTAGATTTTTCCGCAGTACAAAGAACACGGACCCAGTGTAAGTGAAGAAGGGGAATTGATTATATGCCCCACTCCCCGTGGAGGAACTGAAAACAGTGGGAAAGGAAGGCAGGCTCCCCAAGATCAAAGCAGAGTGCTGATATGAGGAGGAGGCTAGGCACTGGGTGGCCATGGGAAGAGAGGTCTCTCCATCCCTGAGGAGATGGCACAAGGCAAGCAGGACCCTCTGGAGCCCCTCGGGAAGGAGAGGTGGAGCTGAGAGAAGCCTCAAGGTAGGAGTCAGTGGGAACAGAGAGAGGCAGTGGGGATTACCCCACAAAGAGGCTGGAATCAGTTAAGAGCAGAAAGTCACAGAACCCTGAGGAAAGTCCACCCTGGGCAGTATGGAGGCAGCCTATGAGGACAGAACAGTCACGCACCCGCCGACAGATAAAGTGCTTGATGACAACTGGGTTGTCCTGAGGGGCATGAAGCCTGGATTCAGGCAGCTGAAAAGGGGGAGCAGATGAGAGAGGAGTGGAAAAGAGGGGAAGGGGCTAGAAGCCACGGGTGGCAGGATGGGCAGCGGAGGCTGGGTGGGAGACTGGGTGGGCTCCTTGCCAGGAATGGTTGAGGAAAGACAATAGGGCCCTTGAGGGGAAGGGCAGGAACGCCCACTGGAGGCAGTGCCTGGAACGGGCCACTGGAGGCAGTGCCTGGAATGGCAGCGGGCTCGGGATCAGGGCCACCTACAGCATCATAGCTAGGTGAGCATCTTGGTTCTAGTGGTTCAGTCTGCACGAGGGCTCAGGTCTCCCTAAGATGAAAATTAAGCATGTGCTTGAGAACCTTCTTAGATGTCACATACATGAGCTAGTGTAGCTAGAGTTTTCCTGCCTGGCCCACAGTCAGGACAAATCTTTGTCACCCACCAGTCCCACAGCCGCTCAGACTCGACCAAGTAAACACAGAAACTTATATTGCTTACAAACTGTATGGCCGTGGCAGGCTTCTTGCTAACTGTTCTTATAGCTTAAATTAATCCATTTACATAAATCTATACCTTGCCACGTGGCTCGTGGCTTACCGGTGTCTTCACATGCTGCTGGTCATGGCGGCGGCTGCAGTGTCTCCCCGCCTCAGCCTTCCGCTTCCCAGAATTCTCCTCTCTCCTTGTCCCACCTACTTCCTGCCTAGCCACTGGCCAATCAGTGTTTTATTTGACATACAGACCATCCCACAGCAAGCTAGGGTACATGGAATACCCCAGGGTTGGTTTGTATGCATGTCTTGATTGTGTCCACACCGGCCTACAGAAACACAAGCCCCGGGTAAGCTACAGAACACTCTCGACAGCACACAAGGTTCCTTCCTACCCCTTCCCAATTCACTGCAGACACGAGCCTCTGTTCTGACTTGTGTCTCCATCCGTTTGGTCTGTTCTTGACGTCCAACTCTGGAATCTTGCAGTATGTTCTGTTTGGCTTCCTTCCCATAATACTAAACATATTCATCTGTTGTTATGGATACTGGTTCTTTTCTTACTACAGAGTAGCAGTCCATTATAAATATACAATTATTCCATTCTACTGTTTTCTTGATTGGGATCTTCTTAATTCTGTAACAATCTTCATTTGGCAATTCACCTGGCTTGGCCTATGAGTGTTGGGATTAAAGATCTATGTCACCACACCTGAATCCCATTCTGCTGTTGAACAGTGCTTGGCACTTTTTTCTAGGTCAGGAATCATTGTAATTAAAATTATTCCTTTAATTTTTTTTTTGTTCTGTTTTTTGAGACAGGGTTTCTCTGTGTTGCCCTGGCTGTCGTGGAACTCACTCTGTAGACCAGGCTGGCCTCGAACTCACAGAGATCTGCCTGCCTCAGCCTCCCGAGTGCAAGAATTAAAGGTGTGCACCACCACCTCCTGGCCCCTTTAATAATTAAAAAAAAAAATTCCTTTAAGCCAGGCACAGTGGCTCATCCCTGTAATCCCAGCACTTGAGAGGCTAAGTGAGTTCCTGAAAGTCTGAAGCCAACCTGAGTTACACTGTGAGTTCCAGGCCAGCAAGTCTAGGGACTAAGATCCTGTGTTAAACAGTCTATCAACAAACAATTTAGTATTTAGTAATAATTCATTTTTGTCTCTTATGATGCAGAGTCTCAAGTAGATCAGGCTAGCTGCACCTCTCTGTGTAGATAAGGATAATCCTGAAGGTCTCATCCTCTTGGCACCTGCCCCACTGGGAAGCAACTTTTTTTTTTAAATCAAACATTCCTTAAACATTTTTAAAATTTTATTTTCTGTGTATGAGTGTTTTGCCTGCATGTGCACCATGTGCTTGCCTGGTGCTAGGGAGGTCAGAGGAAGGCAATGGATTCCCTGGAATTAGAATGGTTGGGAACCGTTAGGTGTTCTGGGACCCAAACCCAGGTCCTCTGCAAGAACAACAAGTGCTCTTAAGTGCGAGGCCATCTCTCCAGCCTTCCAAAACAAACATTCATAATTAATTAAAAAAAAAAATCTAGACCTAGTAATTTCGGCATCTGAAAGGCAGGTCAGCCTGGCCACACCTGGAGGACCATAGTCCCTCCACTTCCAGCGAGAAGTCGCACACTCGTGCACAGGTCCCAGAGCCCTCCATCCTAGGCGTATTCATAGAGCCAGGGTACAGGACTGCTGGACCTGGGAGTGGCAGGTGGGGGGTGCGGCCAGCAGGCTGCTGAGCCTCACATTCTTTCTTCTAGCCTCCTGGGCCCTGGCTATTGGTGACCAGAGTCGTCCTGATCCCGCAGCCCGGGCCCACCCGCGGCCCCCCATGAGCTCGCCCGGCTGACCGGTGAGGCGGCCGCGGTGGAGCCGGCGTGCCCCGAAGGCAGCGGGGCCATGGCCTCGCTGGACTTACCATACCGATGCCCGCGCTGCGGGGAGCATAAGCGTTTCCGGAGCCTGTCGTCACTGCGCGCGCACCTGGAATACAGCCACACCTACGAGACGCTCTACATCCTCTCCAAGACGAACAGTATCTGCGACGGCGCGGCCGCTGCTGCAGCGGCTGCTGCCGCCGCTTCTGGCTTCCCCCTGGCGCCTGAGCCCGCCGCCCTGCTGGCGGTGCCCGGGGCCCGGCGCGAGGTCTTCGAGAGCACGTCCTTCCAGGGCAAGGAGCAGGCGGCAGGGCCAGCGCCCACGGGGTCGCACCTGCTGCACCATCATCACCACCACGCGCCGCTGGCTCACTTCCCTGGCGACCTGGTGCCCGCCAGCCTGCCCTGTGAGGAGCTGGCCGAGCCGGGGCTCGTGCCTGCCGCGCGCTATGCACTACGCGAGATCGAAATCCCACTCGGCGAGTTGTTCGCGCGCAAGTCCGTGGCATCCTCGGCCTGTTCGACGCCTCCACCCGGGCCCGGCCCTGGTCCTTGTTCCGGGCCCGCCTCCGCATCGCCAGCTTCGCCATCACCCGCCGATGTCGCCTACGAAGAGGGCTTGGCACGCCTCAAGATCCGTGCGCTGGAGAAGCTGGAGGTGGACCGGAGGCTGGAGCGGCTGAGCGAGGAGGTGGAGCAGAAGATCGCCGGCCAGGTGGGCCGGCTACAGGCTGAGCTGGAGCGCAAGGCGGCGGAGTTGGAGACTGCGCGACAGGAGAGTGCACGGCTGGGACGCGAGAAGGAGGAGCTGGAGGAGCGCGCATCTGAGCTTTCACGCCAGGTGGACGTGAGCGTGGAACTGCTGGCCTCGCTTAAGCAGGACTTGGTGCATAAGGAACAGGAGCTGAGCCGCAAGCAGCAGTGAGTAGACCCTGGGAGTCGAGTGGGTGGGTGTCTCTGGATGTTACTCACTTACGCCTGCACGTGCCTGAGGTGTCTTCATGTGGTTAGGCTTTGGAACACAAGTTCTAAGATGAGTCCGTGATAGTGGTGCCTGCGGGTCCGAGTGTGTCGTCGTGATGAATTGGGAGCTCGGAATACGTGTGTTTCTTCACCTTCGATAGCCAGGCCAGGCAGCTCTTGAATTTTGTACCAGATTTCCCTTTAGCCTACCCAAAGAACTGGCCCAATTCTCCATGCCGTCTTGTACTTCGTAAAAGCATGCAGACACAATTGCATCTTTCTCAGGTCCCATAAACCTGCTGCTTCTTAACCTTCTAACTCTTTGCTCTTGGCTTCTTGAAGGCCTTTCTTGTATTTCTGGTTCCCGAACCTACCCTCTGGGGTCAGGTTGCCACCTCCACACCATCTTTGTGTCCTCAGTAAACTTCATGTTCATCACCGTCCTGGATCCATCTGTACAGTGTTTGATGTAGACTCTCACTGTGTAGCCTTTGAGCTCATGACCCTCCTGCCTCAGCCTCATGAATTATTGCCCTGCACCACATTTAGCTTTCCTTTCCTTTTGCTCCTCCTCAGCCATCTTTTCTGGCCACCTCCTTGTTTCTCTAGTCTGCAAATGGAGTCATTTGTTTGTTCTCATTGTCATACCAAGTTCCAAGCAGGCCGGGATTTCCTTCTTTTGTTCAGTACGTTTCCCCTGAATCTCCAGTAGCGCCTGGCACCTGGATTAAATGTTTAACGAATGCATGAACAGCTGAATGCGTGCCGGGATACACACACACGCAGGTAACTGCGAGGGTGCTGCGTGTTTACATACCCCCTCAGATGCTGGGGCAGACCATAGGAGTGCTTTATGGTTTTGTCTGTGTTGATGTGACTCAGTGCGCTTTGATAAGAGTACGTGCGTGTGTTTGATTGGGTTGGTGGGCGTGGCTCTCCATGGTTCTTAATGTATTTCAGAGTGTGAATGTGCCCTGAGAATGAGCGTGATTGCATACATAGGAACGTGCTGAGGACTGTGTATTGGACCAAGTGAGGATATGTGTTCATAGCCCTGAGGCTCTCGGGGTATGCTTGGGCGTGTAACTATGTGAGGAGGCTGTGTATGGAGACCACAGGGGACGAAGGATGTCTGCTTTTGCTCATGGGACTCTGCATGTGCCTGGAGGTGGCTGTGTGTAGGATGAGCATACCCACGACTGTGTCCCTAAGACCAGTTGTGTTTAGTTACCTTTCTTGTCGCTATGACGAAATACCTCGTACAGTTTAAAGGGCTGTCCGTTTGTTCGCTGGGTCCCACATGGTGGAAGGAGAGAACTGACTCCTTCCCATTGGCCTCCAGCCTCTGCACATGTGTTGGAGCACAGACGTGAGTACATTTTTGTTTTAGATTTATTTTTACTATTTTTTTTATGTGTATGAGCATTGTGCTTGAATGCATGACCTCTGGTGCCCGCAGAGGTCAGAATAGGATGTCGCATCCCCTGAAAATGGAGTTAGGGTGGTTGTGAGCCAGTATGTGGGTGCTGGGAACCAACCTCAGGGCTTCTGCAAGAGCAGCAAGTGGCTGAAGGAGCGATTGCTCCTGCCATGTGTAGTAAAACTGTGTTTTTAAAAAGCAACTTGAAGAAAAAAAGGGTTTCCTTCAGCTCACAGTTTGGGGAGACAATGGATCATGGCAGGAAGGGTGTGGTCTCAGGAGTGTGAGGCAGCTGGTCAAGGGGTCATCTATAGCCAGGAAACAGAGATGGAGGCTCCTGCTCAGCATGCTTTCAACCTTTTATTCAGTTGGGACCCAGCCCAGGGAATGGTGCCCTGCAAATTTAGGGTGGATCTTCACACCTCGGTTTCACCCAGTCTAGAAACTTCCTCACACAGTTGTGTTCACAGGGGTTTGTCTCCTGGGTGATTCTAGATTCTGTCAGGTTGACTTCAGTATTAACAGGGGTGTCCAGGTGTGTGTGTGTGTGGTGACTTGTGTGTCTGCCTATTTGTGTTGTATGTGTGCCGTCGTGTGGGTCTGCGTGCTGGGCACTGTCCATGGGACCATGAGCCGACGCTCTAGGTTGCTGCCAGGCTTTCCTCCAATGGGCAGTCAGGCCAGGGACCTAGGGTAAGAGACTGCTCCCGGCCCAGGGAGGTGGTGCAGATCGACCAGTTCCTGAAGGAGACAGCGGCTCGGGAGGCCAGTGCCAAGCTGCGGCTGCAACAGTTCATTGAGGAGCTCCTGGAGCGTGCAGACAGGGCCGAGCGCCAGCTGCAGGTCATCAGCAGCAGCTGTGGCAGCACACCCAGTGCCAGCCTGGGCCGAGGAGGTGGGGGCAGTGCCTCAGGGCCTGGGGTGAGAGGCCCAGGCAGAATGGTGAGTGTGTACGTGCCCTGGCTTCTCACCTGCTCCTGTGGTCCCCACAGCCTTCCCCCACACCACCCCAACTTGCCTCCTTTGCCTGTTCCCCCAGGAGCACCCCAGGAGCACCCCCAGACCTGAAGTGGGAGGGAGGTCCACTCTGTCAGGGCGGGAGTGCTGGCTGGCTCTGAGGCTGTGGCAGGGTGCTTCAATCGCCTCAGCCTTCAGAAGCCCATCTCTGTTACTTTCCTGCTAATGAGAGCCTAGGAGCCACAAGCTGGGCCCTGGGAGGCTGGGTGGGTGCATTGGGAGGGATTTGGGAGCCTGCCTGTCTGGACTGTCTGTCTGTCCATTCGTCCATCTTTTCCAACTTTATTCTTCTCTCTCTCTCCTCTCCTTCCTTTCTTCTCTCCATCTTCCTCTCTCTCCGACTGTTGCTTTCTCCTCTGGCCTCCTCTGCCCATCCTTCCTTTCCCTTCCACTCTGGGGGCTACAGCGAGAACACCACGCAGGCCCAGCTCTGCCAAGCACATACGCCGTTTCACGGCATGGCTCCTCTCCCAGCACAGGGTAAGCCTTGGCCCACCCCACACAGCCTACCCTCACCCTGGAAGGTCTGCTGGCCCATCAGAGGCTCATCTCCTTCTGTGCCCACCCTCCCTGGTATCACCAGTCTGCCTTTCCATGCTCAGGGAACTTTTGGAAAGCAGGCGAGTGGGCCTCCCCTTGGCTGGTGGTAAGGAAAGTGTCGGGAGTTGGGGCAATCTGGTATCCCTCAGCCTTCACTCTGCACTCCCCCACCCACCCCAGGGCCTCCAGCCGTGTGCCAGCTGCATCCCAGAGCTCAGGCTGCTATGACAGTGACAGTCTGGAGCTGCCCCGGCCAGAGGAAGGGCCCTCGGAGGACGGTGGCCCTGGGGGCTTGGGTTCTCGGGCCCAGGCTGCCAACGGTGGTTCAGAACGGTCCCAGCCCCCTCGTAGTTCAGGCCTTCGACGACAGGCCATCCAGAACTGGCAGCGCCGACCGCGCCGTCACAGCACCGAGGGGGAGGAGGGGGACGTCTCAGACGTGGGCTCCCGAACTACTGAATCAGAGGCTGAGGGCCCCTCGGATGTCCCACGCCCTGCACCTGCTGTAGCCGGGCCCTTGAACAGCCGCCTCTCAGGTAAGTCCTGGGAAAGCGGGTAGAGAATCCAGCCTTCCAGGGTGCTGGGTTGTCTCAGGGGACCCAGGGTGGAGGTGGTGACCCTTGACTCCTACACCTCTCTTATTCTTGTCTACCTGTAAAACACTCTTCAAGCTTGGAGCAGGGGTTTGTGTGACAGGCCAGGCCTGCAATGACCCAAGGATGCTCCATTTAAGAGGGGGTCTGTGTACATGGTGGACTCCATCACAGGTAGGGGAAAAGAGCTGAGCGTTTATTTGGGGCTCTGAGGCTGAGAGTCAGGGTAACCCTCAAAAGGGAAGTTTAGAGCTGGGGAGGTAGTTCAACTAGTACATGCTCATCTAGAATCCAGGAAGCCCTGGCTTTGATCTCTAGCACCTCAAACTGGACATAGTGGTACACATCTCTAATCCTAGTACTTGGGCAGCAGATGCAGGACAATCAGAAGTTCCAGGTCATCCTGGGCTACATAGTGAGTCCAAGGCTAGGCTGGAATACATGAGATCATGTCTGAAAAAGTTTTGGGTGTGTGACAAAGCAACAGACACCCCTTTCCAATTAGTAAAACTTGGGGTACTATAGAGAAGGGGAAAGCAGGGGACCTGCTGTCTTCCCTGGGAGCTGGTCCCCAGTGTGGGTCTCTTACTCACCCCTCCTGCCAGCTCCTGCCTTGCCCCAGCTCCCCACCCACAGCCCTGTAACTGCTCTTTTACACCCCACTGTCTCCTTTGGCCCCCATGTTCTACAGCCCGCCCTGAGGGAGGCAGTGGGCGAGGCCGTCGGGTGGAGAGAGGTAGCCCCTCGCGCTCCAATGAGGTCATCAGCCCAGAAATCCTCAAGATGCGCGCCGCCCTCTTCTGTATCTTCACCTACCTGGATACCCGCACGCTGCTGCATGCTGCAGAGGTCTGTCGAGACTGGCGCTTTGTGGCCCGCCATCCTGCCGTCTGGACCAGGGTGCTGCTTGAGAATGCCCGAGTCTGTTCCAAGGTGCCTGCCCCTGCCCTTCGGGGAGCCCAGCTCTTAGCAGCAGTAGAGGTCTAGTCTTGGTAACCCTCACTGCCCTGGTTTCCCTATACTCTCATGGCGCCTCCTCCTCAGAGCTAACCCATCGCCAGCCAGTCGAGGCTATCTCTGCTCATATCACTTGATCTTCCCCAGTTCCTGGCGATGCTGGCTCAATGGTGCACCCAGGCCCACTCATTAACGTTACAGAATCTGAAGCCCCGACAGCGGGGAAAGAAGGAAAGCAAGGAGGAATACGCCCGGAGCACCCGGTGAGGCCTGCGGTGGGTGGGTGGGTGGGTGGGTGAGTGAGTGCGTGCTCCTGAGTTTAAGTGGGGATGCTTCCCAGATGAGGAAGTGACCACCAGCCACTCCCTGACCTCTTGGCCCATCCTCAGGGGTTGTCTTGAAGCAGGACTGGAGTCCCTGCTAAAGGCAGCTGGTGGGAACCTGCTGATCCTGCGTATCTCCCACTGTCCCAACATCCTCACTGACCGGTCACTCTGGCTGGCCAGCTGCTACTGCCGTGCCCTGCAGGCCGTCACCTACAGGTGGGTCTTCCCTTCCAGAAGCACAGCTCACACCCTCTATGCCTTGGTCCCTAGCTACCACATGGTCTTGCTTCTTGGTGACCACAGAGGCCACCACGGTTGGGTCACTTGAGCTTTGGCTTTTCCGCAGGAGTGCCACAGACCCTGTCGGCCATGAGGTGATCTGGGCCCTGGGTGCAGGCTGCAGAGAGATTGTCTCCCTCCAGGTGGCACCACTTCATCCTTGGTAAGCCCAGGCAAGCGGGGAGGTGGGGCGTTGGGGGGGGAGGGAGGGAGCAGCAGTGGGACCTGGTCTGGGGCTGAGGACTGAGCAAGTCAGTGTCGGGGACAGATTACACACACTGGTCAGTGTGTTGATAGTAAGGAGCTGGGCTGTGTCTCTCTGGCTTGTGGCAGTGCCCTTAAATTTTTTATGACACATTTGGGGGTGGGAATCGGGTATCTGTGTGGAGGTCGGGGAACAACTTAAGAGTCATTCTTTCCTTCCACATGTGAGTCATGTGAGACATGATCGAATTCATGTCATTAGGCTTGGAGGTAAGCGCCGTTACCCACTGAGCCACCCTGACAGCCCGGCATTGCCACTCACACCTTAGCTTTGCGGCTTAGATTATGAGAGCCGTTACTGGCTCAGTGGTGTCTGTCCATGGAGACTGTAAAGTCCATAGTATGTGTGCAGTCAACACTACCCTGGCCTACGATAAGCAGGTCGGGAAGTCAGTAAATGATACATAGAGCAGGCTGGGTGTGCTGTCACACACCTCATCTCCGCTTACTCCAGCTCAGGTTGAGAATTCAAGACCTGTATGAGCAATTTAGCAAGATCCCATCTCAAAACAAGAACAAATCAGTTGTTGGCGAACCCAGGGTGCAAATCATCCCTTGCTCTTCTTGGGACTTCCTCAGATTCCCAGGCTTCTCTGCCCTGCCCCTTACCCTCCCAGTGATTCCCCTATGTGCCAGCTCCTCCCAGGCCCTCTAATACCCTGATGGAGTCTGCCATTGTGGTCCCCTACTAGGTCCCCGCTGCCCCTCATCCTGACCATAATATCATCCATTCGGTAGTAATTTCTACTTCAGGCTCCCCTACTAGACTTGGTTCTCAAGGAAGACTCTGAATGTCCGTTTCTGTGTCCTTGCTACCCTGGGCATATCAGATGACAGATACTGTTGCCTGAATGGATGTTGAGGGATGAAGTTTGGTGTGAGTAGGGTAGGCAAGCCAGCGATGATGGAAAGGCAGGCAGGGAAACATCATGAAGGCCTTGCTAAAAGATGTGGATCGGTGGATCTCATGTAGCAAGTACAAGGAAGCTTTTGGGGAGATTGTCAGCTTTAAGAAGGGTGTATTGAGCCAAACATGGTGGTACACACCTGTCATCCCAGCCCTTGGGAGGTAGAAGCAAGAGGATCAGGAGTTCAAGGTCATCCTCAGCTGTATCATGAGTTTGAGGTCACTCAGCCTGGGCTGAGGTCACTCCTTTAAAAAAAAAAATCTAGGAGTTGGGGATTTAGTGCAGTGGTAGAGTGCTTGCCTAGCAAGTGCAAGGCCCTGGGTTTGGTCCTCAGCTCCAAAAAGAAAGAAGAAAAAAAAATCCAAACAAACAAGAGTACCAGAAGCTAGGTGTGGTCTATAACCTCAGCCCTCGGGAGGCTGAGGCAGGGTTGCTACAGGTTCAAGGCTAGGTGGCAGGGACAGATTAAAGTCAGGCTGCTAAATGTTGTATGTCATAGACTTTCTGCTGTGAGGGTGGGAGCTGTCCTCATTGTCACCCTGAACGCCAGGGCCCGGTTCAGCTGTCTGATGAGTATCTGGCCACCAGGTGCAGGGTAAATGGAGACTGAGGTGGGGCTCTGGTCTACAGCGCTCTCTGGTTGGCTCCAGAATCTGAAGCTGCCAGATGTGGTAAGAGGGGAGGGGCAGGGTCAGAGATGCGCTATTGTCTGACAACTGGACTGTTGGCAAGGTGCGTGCCTGAGGCATGGATAGGGACCTCCAGGGATGCTCACACTTGGGACTGCAATGCCTCCCTGACCACTCTTCACTCTTCATTCTTCAGCCAGCAGCCCACCCGGTTCAGCAACCGTTGCCTGCAGATGATTGGACGCTGCTGGCCCCACCTCCGGGCCCTGGGTGTAGGTGGTGCCGGCTGTGGGGTACAGGGTCTGGCATCACTTGGTGAGTCTTTCCTTGGGGTTGGAGTGGGTAGGTAAGAAGCAGGCAAGGGTGAGATGCTGCCTATGAAATCCCACCAGAGTTAGGGTCTGCAGCCTGGGTGATGGCGAGGGACTGAGTGCTGGGCAGGAGGTGGGTCAGGGAGTTTAACACCAGGCTTCTCTTCTTCCTCTCCTAGCAAGAAACTGCATGCGGCTGCAGGTGCTAGAACTGGACCATGTGTCAGAGATTACCCAGGAGGTGGCAGCTGAAGTCTGCCGGGAAGGCCTGAAGGGATTGGAGATGCTGGTGCTCACGGCCACCCCTGTCACCCCTAAGGCCCTGCTACATTTTAACAGTGAGCAATGGGGTTTGGGGGTACAGAGCAGGGTATGGCTATAGCCTATTCTTGGACATTTTGCAGCATTGAGTGAACTTTTCCTGGGGAGATGCAAACAGTTGCCTGCTCCTCCTAGAAAGGGCACCTATGATCTACCAAACAGTGCCACCAAAGTCCAACTTGGTGAACCATGGAGTTTATGGCTTATTTACAGAGCATGAATGAGGGTTACATACAGAGTATGGGTTACCCCAAAGTAGCCATACCACTTAACAGATTTATCTCTGCACAGATGACAGCTCCCTTATAGCTACATAGGTGAAGCTCTCCATACACAAGTCGGAGTCTAATACCTCCAAGGTGCAGCCAGGGCAAAACTGCACACATCTGGCGGGGATGGGGAGGAAGGGATGGCTGATAGCGCAGGTGAGCATCTGTCTGATGACTCTCCAGTTCTTCTATGAGGAAAAGAGATCAACAAGACCAGTCTGGAGGGTCCCTTGGGATAGTCATAGCCACTCTGATGAAATGGTAATGGCTGTTAGGCTCTCACTTACAACCATTCAGTGTAACGATCTCCTATTGCTCTAACCAGCATGTGCCAGTGCTGAGGCAGACAGAGCAGTGTTCTTCCTGGCTCCTTCAGCATCTCTGAGGCCAGGATGGTACTCCAGGCCCAGCAGCATTTGATGCCAACTATTTAGCTGCACAGGATATCTGTTCCATTCTGGCCCATAGTGGCTCCAGGAGTTGTGTGTGGTGCCAGTGGTTCCTGTGTGAGCCTCCCACTGGGGCGGAGGCAGAGAGCAGACAGGGCATCATCAAGGGTTGCAATGCTGCTCTTGAGCACATGACTTTGCTTTCTGAATTCTGCAGTCTCATCTTTCCACTTTCTAGATGGTAGGGTAAAGGTCATAGAATTTTAAGTCCTCTGGGACATTTCTTGGGGTAAGGACTTCACTCTGACTCCTCTGCTGCCCACATCATCCCATCTCCTTGGTCATTCCTCTCTGCCTTCACTTGGACCACCACTCAGGACCACTGGCCTCTGGGAGGTCTCCATGCAGACTGATTGAAGGTTCCTTGGTTTTTTCCCCACCAGTACTGGGTTAAACCCAGTGCTTTAAGTGCTGCACTGCTAAGCAGTACCCCTCCCCCACCCCATGAGACAGGGTCTCTGCAAAGTCCTGGCTTTGCTGGAACTCACTCTGTAGACCCGCCTGCCTCTGCACCCCCAGTGCTGGGATTGAAGGCGAGTGCCACAATGCCTGGCCTTTCTTACATTTTTGAGACAGTTTGACTAAGCTGTGCAGGCAGGCCTTGAACTTCCGATCCTCACACCTTAGCCTCTTGAGTAGCTGAGGTGACAGACCTGGGCCACCATACCTACTTCTTTGACCGTCATCACCTCCTGAGCCTTCCTATTTACCTTCCTTCAGCCTCATGTCCACCTAAATGGTCCACCAGAACTCACTACTCAGCCCCCTACATCATGCTGTCTAGGTCCCTCCCAGCTCCTGACCTCCCTGCAACTCTCCCTGACATCATGGCCAATAATTCTTGAAGCCCTTGTTTCAAGAAGACTTGATTGCCTCCCACCCATCCGACTCCACACTCAGTCTCAGTTCAGCAGCTAGTCATTTCCAAGTGCCCAGGCCATGGTCCAAGCTGTGCCCTCTGCCAGGAAGCTGTTAGGGCACTGGGCAGCTTGCTGTCACACACTTGTCCTTCCAGAATATCCTCCCTGCCTTCTTAAGATGTCCTAGGAGCTGCACCAGCACAGGCCTGACACTCGTGTTCTTGTAGCCGGCCCATGTGTGTTTCCCAGTGGGGCTCTGATTTCATTCATGAGAGGAACCCATGGAGCACACTGCCCTTGCCAAGCTCCATCTCCCTTACCTGCCTTCTGCCAGGCATCTGCCGGAACCTCAAATCCATTGTGGTGCAGATTGGGATTGCTGATTACTTCAAAGAGCCCAGCAGCCCCGAGGCCCAGAAGCTGTTTGAGGACATGGTGACAAAGCTTCAGGTGAGGGGTGGGCTCTGAGGCCACAAAAGACCCTTTGGCTGGGGCTGGTGAGGGTGGCAGCAGTTCATCTGCCCAACACCAACGAAGAGCTAACCTGGGGCTCTATCTCTAGGCCCTGCGACGGAGGCCTGGCTTCTCGAAGATTCTGCACGTCAAAGTGGAAGGTGGCTGCTAACCCGGGTGAGGGGCGGCAGGGCCCCTGCCAGCCCCACACCAAGGCACTCTTTGGACCTCTGGAGGGGCCCTGGCTTGGACTAGACCTTTGGAGGCCTAGTGTTAGGCCAGGTTCCAGACAGTGGTTGAGTAACCCTGTCTAACTGCAACAGCCAAGTGACAGGTGACCCAGAGCACAGCCTCCCCAGGGCAGGGGCTTGGACAGAAGCTGCCCTGAGACCCCCATGACATGACATCCTCAGCTGGCACAGCCTTCTGGCACAACCAGCAAGGAGCTGGCACACCAGCACCTGGTTGTCACCACTCAAGAGGATCTGCAGTAACCACCCAGCAGCTCCTCAGCTGTTCAGGCAGGTCTCTCCTTCCTGAGGCCAGCTCCTGCTCAGGAGCCTGTCAGGCCACAGGCCAGAAGGGGCTCAAGGCAGCTCAGACATGGCAAGGAGGACTCTTCTCCCCTTTCCCTGACCAAGCCCTCTGCGAGGCAGTCCCGTCAGACAGTGGGTCTCTCTTCCAGGTCCACGTTCATTCTCCAGTGATGATCCAGGCAAGCCTAGGAACCCAGGTAGAAGGTTAGGGGGAAATTGGGGCAGGGCCATAGGGATAAGGTTAAAAGGGTAAAGGGAAAAAAAAAAAAGCCTGCAACTTCCCAGGACGAGGCCCACACCTCCCTAGCAGGTAAAGGACTGGCCAGTTGGAGGAGACTACTGTAAGACAAAGACTTCTCATTATCACACCCCAGAGCGAAGCTTAAAGCAGTCTCTATACTTAGCTTTTCTTGCTGAGGGACATCGGGAGGGAGGGAGGGAGGACCCTGAGCTCCCTGTTGTGCTGAGGCTTGGGGGAGAAGGCTTGCTTTCCTTAACAGCTTGCTTGAGGCAAGGAGCCAGATACTGGTGCCAAGGCAGAGGAAGGAATGTCCTCAGCCCATCTTCCCAGGGCTGAGGCTACAATAGAACACTTGGGGCAGGGTGTCACAGACAGGCCCTTGCACCATACCCAAAAGTCTGTTTGAGCACCAAAGCCCTGAAGACTGAGCATCCCTAACTGAGTTCCTCCTCTCAGAACTTGCAGTGGCTAAGGCATGAGTCTTGGCAATCCTCACTTGGGCAGATCTTTCAAATTCCTGGCCTCTCATCCAAATCTTAGGGTTTTCTTTGCTCCTGTACAAGGTGGAATCGTCTTGTCAATTTTCTCCAGCTAGGCCACAGCTGGCCACAGCATGAACCCAGCTATGAGTGCCGCCTACCACTGCTGTACGCCCTCCCTGCTCAATGCTCCCAGATCCCATAGCTCTGTCCCAGTTTGTCATCATGAGTTGTGTGGCTTGTTCTGTCCGTCCTTTGAAGACTGAAATGCCAAGGCTATCATGCTGGACACTCCATGCCTAGTCCTGCATGAAACCTCGGCTGTGTGGTATCTACACCCCTACCTCTCACAGCTGCCTCCAGTTGCTCCCCCCTCTCCAGCCCCGTCCCCAGGAGTCACAGGCAACAGCACAACTTTCCTCGCCTTCAGTGGCTCAGAAGGGAGGTGGAGGTGCACTTGGGGCCCAGCTGCCTTTAGTGGTCAGTTGTTTTGCCAGCTGCATCTATGTAGCCCCTGCTCCCTGTGACTCCAAGACCAGAGGTGCTGCCCTTCCTGTCTCCTGGATAAAGCACAAAGTGATGTGGTAGTTGGCCAAGCCTGCCCCCAGGGGCTTCCATTCCTCAGCCCCAGGATTTGGACATCTTCCTGGGCAGGGGAGGCACTGGAATGCCTGGTGTTGAGGGAAACGGGTGGCAGTGCACAGCCATCAGGGCAGGAAGCAAGGTCAATAGTCCCAGGCTCTACTACATCTAACCACATCCTGATTCATGGAGAGGGAACACACCCCTTTTGTTGGCATAGTCTGCTCTCTGCAAAGCTGTGTCCAAGAAGTCTCACCTGTGTTCTTGCTGAGTAGAGGTGGGTAGAGTAAAACCTAAGCCTTTACCAACCCAAGTGACAGGTCGCTGTGTCCTGGCTGAGTCTTGGGCATCTTAGTTTTCAGGAATGCCTTGAGAGCCAGCAGCTCTGCCCCTCACTTGTGGTTCCTTTGCTTTGCCCCCTGGCGACCAACCCTGCTTCTGGTTACTATGCTTGTTTCCATCTTGAGCAGTCAAGAGCCAGAGTTGGGGGTGGGGCATTGGCTTCCTGAGAAGCACCTTAGCCCATCTTTAGGCACCCCAAAGGGAGCCCTTTGTCCAAAAACACATGTGAGGGCCTGCATGCCCTGCTCCAGAAGCACAGGGTCTATGGAAAGGGCTCATGGGTGGCAGCCATCTGGCATCTCTTCCAATCCCACCCCCTGCCACACAGCCTGGCTCTAGCACCTGTGAAATATAGCATGTTTGGCCTGAGTACTTCATGCTTATGTAGGCTGCTTTTCCCCACAGTATGGCAAAAATACATGCACTCCTTCCCAGAACCTCAGCTTTCTACCCATCAAGAGAAAGCACCCTGAAATCGGGTGGTTTTTGTTTTGTTTTGTTTAACCCTATGACAACAGAGGCCTCTTTCCCAAGGCCTGGATCCATCCTTTGCCTTTGAGTCTTTCCTATCCCCGGCCCTTATGTAGAATGCTTCAGAACACAGGCAGTGAGCTGTCAACCCCAGTCTCTGTAAGGCGCTAAGTTGAATGAAAACTTCCCAGAGTGACAATTGGTGCCAAAGACATAGCTTCTGGTGAACTTGGAAGAAGTGCGACTGAGTGGGATATGGCCCAGTGCCCAGAGGAGTTAACCACTGATGGGATCTACCCCAGCCTGTCAGCCCCTAATGACCTGGCAGTCTTTCTACCCTTGGTGGCCACACTTTCTCATCCAGCCTTGGCTCAGGCCAACATCTCTGTATATATTACTATGTAGTGTGTATATTTACTCCTGGACAAGTGAGCTCAGTTGTAGTCCTTGCCCAGGGACAAGGCTGAAGGTTGGGTGAAGAGCAGAACATGAGGCTTTCCTCAACTCTTTGGGACCTTAGTCCAAGACTGCCCGACAATCAAGCAGGCACCCCACCATGAGGCCAGCCCCTGAGGAGGCTTGCCCTGGAACCCCAGCCTCTGCTCATCCCTGGCAGGGGTCTCAGAGGCCTGAGGTGGCTCAGGCTTGCCTTGCAGCTGGTGCAGTTGGCTTGGCTCAGAGGGCACTGCCTTCCCTGCACAGCCAGGCTGCATCCTGCCCCCGGCACACTAGGCAGAGGGGCTGAGAGCAGCTTTTGGTTTTACTTTTGTTTCTAAAGTGGTGCCTGTACCTCCAGCCCCCAGGGGGCCTTCCCTGGCCCCACTTATCTGCCCCACCCAGGCATTGCCATCCCAGCACTTTGCTCCATGTCACCCAGATGCCCTTTGCCGAATGTATTGAGCATATGTATTTAAAAGGACTCATGGGCATCAGAGAATTTATGGTTCTGTATCCAATAAAAGATGATGAAACTGAAAAATTGTGTTTGGTTCAGAAAAACATGTAGCATACAGCCCTATTTGTCAGACACCAAGCCCCTACCCTTTGCTTCCCAGAGTCTCGTAGCCCAGCTGGTCTCAAACTCAATACTGAAGACAGCCTTTAGCCTCTGATCTTCCAGCTTTCTGGTGCTAGGGAGTACATGTGTGCACCACGTCCATTTTGTTTGTGTGGCCCTGGAGATCGAACCCAGATTTCTGTGCATGCTGGCAAGCACCCCACCAACAAACATCCTCAGGCCTCGTTACAGCTTTTCTATAGCTAAGAGTGAGGCAGGAGGAAGTCAGACAGCCCAGTCAATGGGGCAAATGAAGAATTAGGCACCCTCTTTAGGGCAGCAGACCATGCTGGAGAAAGGCCTGTGACTGCCTCCTGAAGCCTCCTTTGCTGTCCAAATATACAAAGCCTCCATTCCAGGGTTCCAAGGTAAACCCAGATAGGCAGAACCCCACAGCAGCTTAGTCCCACTTCAGGAGGCTCTGGCAGCCAATCACTTGACCTATGAGAGACTAAACTGCTACCATAGCCTGACCTTAATTTCCCCATTTTACATAATGGCCTTCTCATGCTGATTTAATTAATAGCTCCTAACCTGTTTAAATTTAAAAACACACACAAAACAGCTGTCTGGCTTAAACTGCATACTGTACAAGTAATCCTTGAGAGCCAGCTGTTCCAACCTGACCACAGGAAGGATGTCTGTCACACTCCAGAGTGCACACCTGCCCACAAATCCTATCCTGCTTCAAGACCATCTAACCATGAGTTCAGAGCTCAAATTCTCTAATCACATCTCAGTTCCAGGAAGCAAGAACTTCAATTATTCAACATAACCCCCTCAGCTCTAATAGTCACTGGCTACAGCTCTAGCTTAGGGTAGTTAGCAGAACTGAGGCACTGGTAGACGCTGCCAGACTTCTGTGCCAATAACCATTAACTGCCCCTGGTCACAAGCAGCAGGAGCTGGGGTGGTAGCACAAGCCAATCATTCCAGCTTACTCAGAAGACAAAGCAGGTCAAGCCCAACTTGGGCAACTCAGTGAAACCTTAACAGTACAAAGACTCTCAGCCCAAGGTCAAAATAGGGCTGGGGACATAGCTCAATGGCAAGTGCTTGCTTAGCAAACCACACGAGGCCCTGGGTTCAATCCATAGTACCAGTTTAAACAAAAAGGACTCTCAAGGTGACTGAGCAAAAGAAAACAGGTATTTTCTCCAAGGCCTTATGAAGGTACCGGAGTCCTGAGATTATGTGATGCCCTGACACTCTTCCAAGAGCTCTCACAGTATTTTAAGAGGAAACATGCCTAAGCTCAGAGTACATGAATGTGGACCATAATCCACTACTGTGATGGAAGAGATGCTGTGTGTGCAGTGCCTGAGCTAGAAGGACTGAAGATAATGATACCAGGAGAAAAGGAAGCCACCATACATCGCCTAGCTACTGCTCAGAACTGCAACTGCACTGAGACTTGTAGACAAGGGCCCAGCAGAGCTCACTGCAGAATCATTTACTTCTACTTCAGCAAGTATACACACAGCTCATTCTGAGAGGCAGGAGGATGTTTTTGAGAAAAACGGTGACCAAATAATCTTAAGTTTTATTTAAATAACCTCCAGTGAGAACACAGCAGACTAATCAACCATTTCCTCACCACCAATTCACCTCATCAGGGTGGTGTGCCTCTCAATGGAGGCGGCCTTGGCCTCGACCCCGACCAGCTGCTGGGGGAGCATCCACAGTGGAGCGGGGGTTCTTGATAGTCTCATCCACGGATACAATAAGGCATGCAGCCTCAGACGCTGCTGTCAGGGCATTGATGCGCACCATGGCCGGCTCCCACACGAAGGCCTGGAAGTTGTCTGCGATGTCCTCATTGTTGATGTCCACCCCATACCACATACCCCCCTGAAAGATAGGGAAAGCATTTAGGAACTATTTTCACTTCTTCCTGCACACCTGCCAAAGGACTCAATTGCCAGAAATTTTGAATTGATGGCACTTTCCCAAGGGAATCCGAGGGCCATGGCACCCTTCCCCACCTGCCAACACCTGCTTCCAACTCCGCTTCCAGGCATGCTGGCCACAAGCACCTAGGCCCTCCCAGGCAACTGCTGTTTCCAGGTGTGCCAGGAGGGAGTTGTCCACTGCGCCTGGCAGTGAGCATATTCCCAGACAGCACACACCTAAGAGCCGACCCTCACCCGCCCAATCCCTGGATCCCAAAGAGAGCAGAGAACTATACCTGTGCATGCCGAGCCCGCAGCTTGTTAAGGATGTTTGTGGCGTCGAAGCCAGCATTGTCACACAGCTGTCGGGGAATGATTTCCAGGGCCTTGGCATATGCCCCGATCAACAGCTGCTGTTTCCCTGGAATGGTCCTTGAGTAATCCCGCAGGTATTTGGAGAGCTCCATCTCAATGGCCCCACCACCAGCCACCACAGAGTCATTCTGCAGAAACCAAATAGCTCGCAATGTAGTGGCCCAGCTCCAGGCTTCAAGTTGGGCCACACAGCAAATCCTCCAGCCCAGAAAGTGCCCAAAATGTGAATACTGGCTTGTTCTGTCCCTTCCCCAAACCCCAGATGCCCAGACACAGCCAGCATCCAGCACATCCCAACTTCAATCATAGAAATTGAAAGGTCACTGTCAAGGCCAACCATAGCTTGGGTGTGGTGACATCAGGAGGACAGCTGAATAGATCAGCCCCAGTTTGTTAACTAGTTTTAGCCTTTAAAACATCATGGCCTATGCCAGTCAGTGGTGGTGGCTCATGCCTTTAATCCCAGAACTCAGGAGGCAGAGGCAGACAGGACTCTGTGAGTTTGAGGCCAACCTGGTCTACAGATCGAGTTTCAGGATAGCCAGGGCTACAAAGAAACCCTGTCTCAGGAAGAAAAAAAAAAAAAAAAGCCAAATAAAAACAAGCTAAACCAAACCAAGCAACCAACAAAAACCAGCATGGCCTATATATGAGGCTGAAGTTATTTCTCCATGATTTGTAGGGGGAAATCAAAGCCCAACATGCCACCTAGGAAGGACAGATTATATGAACTCTAAGATTTTACCAGCTCTAGTTAGGGGACTGTACAGGAAAGAGGCATCATCCCAGTACCTTGATGGCCCTCCTCACGATCATGATAGCATCATGCAGGGACCGCTCTGTCTCCTCCATAAACTGCTCAGCTCCACCACGGAGGATGATGGTACATGTCTTGGCCTTAGGGCAGCCAGTGAAGAAATTGTACCTATGTCCAGGATGTAATGGTGCACACATGAATTGCTGCCACCTTGCTGTCTGATCTCCCTACCAAGCCCTCCCAAGAGGGAGCAGTGTTTGTTCACTCAGGCTGTCAATCCTAACCTTGAAAGTATTTTTTGAGGCAGGACTGGGGTGGTACCAGTAGAGCTTGTGGAATCAGATCTAAGATCCAACCAGAACTACTTCCCTTCTGTAACACTATACCTGAGCTCTTTATCCACCCCTCCACCCAACAGCACCTTGAAAAGGGAACAGTACAGGCCACATACCACACCCAGAACGACAAAAAAAAAAAATAAGGGGGGGGGGAGGTTGGGCAGACCCAAGCAGTTCTTGGGTGCTGAGCCCATAGGCTCACCTCTCGCCTCCAATTTGGGTCTCTTCAAACACCTGGCAGTGTCCCAGGACATCTGGATTCAGAGAATTCACACTGGTCTGGATTGAGCCTCCACAGGCCTGGGGAGCAAGGAAAACATCAATGAGGCCAATTGGCCTGCTGACACCCACTCAATAAGCCAGTTTCCATGCTGAATCTGCCACAGAATCTTAAGAGCTCAACATTTATCCTGACCTCAAGATGATCCCTACTACCTCTCAAAAAGATGGAATCAAAACAGAACCAGACTCATAAAAGGCAAAAGGGCCCAGTTCAAAGGAGAGAGATCTGATGTCTACTGCTCTGGGTTCAGCAACTCTCCTCAGGAGCAGATCCCGAGAGGGAAAGCCCTCACTGGAAGCAATCCCCACTGAGTCTGACCCATGACCACAGTGCTGCTGTGAGGCACCTACTTCCTGACCTGTCTTGGTCAGTGAATTCAAAGCAGTTTCTATTACTGGGTATAGACAGTCTATTCTATTACATCAGGGACAGAGGAAACAATCCAGGGCCATGAAGGATAAGCAGCTGCCTATGAAGTTTTGCTTACCATCATTGTCCTCTTCAGATCCTCCTCTGGCACTCGGCCAGCACAGAACATGTCCCTATCAGCAAAGTACTGGGTGGCCACATCCCCAATGGGGAGTTTGGACAAGATGACTTTGGCTCCAGACTGATGGATCTTCTCTAACTTGTCGTAGAGAATGTTCCACTCAGCATCAACAATTGCCTGGTAATCCTAGAGACCCCCCAAAAGATGAGGGTGTTGGAGGATGAAAGTTGGTATATATACAGACAGGCTAAGGCTAACCCAACTCCTCCCCCCACAGAAAACATGCCAACTTATCTGGGAATTAAAGAGGGGCCAACAGTCCAAGCACAAAAGGACCATTAAAAGCAACCACTTAACACTTTCAAACACAAACAGAGTAACTTCAAGGAGGGAGCTTTGCCTAGGGATTTCCCAATATGATCTCTCCCACCACAAAGGCCATTCTGTGCTGGAAAACACTGCTACCTAGAGGCAGCCTTGGGAACCACAACGGGAGGAACAGTTCATGAGACCAGGAAGGAAGGAGACCTGTCCAGCCCACGAGAATCACAATGAGGCAAGCTTGTCATCCCAGCTGCTCAGGACCGACATAGGAAGATTATCAATTCAAGGCCAGCCCAAGAAACTTAACAACACTTGTCTCAAAATAAAAATTTAAAAATAGGCAAGCCTGGGGTAGTGGTGCACACCTTTAATCCTAGCACTAGTGAGGCAGAAGCAGGCAGGTATCTGTGAGGCCAACCTGGTCTACACAGCAAGTTCCAGGACAAACAGAGCTACATAATGA